AAGAAATCCTATAATGTGGGAGTTAAAATGACCAGAATTCAAATTATTGTAATAAAAATGTAATCAGTGTTCTAAATTAGCTAGCAAGCACCCTGAGGTTTATTGCTGGTTTCACACAGGCACACTTGATGTGGTAATATCTAATACTGTATTTCTAAGGGTTTTTCTTCTTGATTACTTGTATCTCTCAATATTTTTTCTTTAAATGAAAAGACTAAAAGTATATAAAAAAGCTGACTCATAAAATATGCACATTTAACGCACACTTCGCTGTCAGAGAATTTTTGTTATCTTATAGTACATTTAGTGAAATCCATGATTAAAAGTCTGGTCCCAATCCTATAGAAGAGTAAAATGTCTTTTATTTTTAAAATAAAATGGTTACCAACTTGAGATAAACAAATCTTCCAGACACTTCCCAAATGGAAAAGTTTATTCACCTTAACTATGTAAACACATTATGTCCAAGAAATAGTTATATCTTGAATAGATATTTTTATTTTACTGTTGTATTAATAGAATCGGGGAGAAAAATATTAATGACATTGTGATGATACCATTGACATCTATACAATTAAAGGCTAGCTTACATCCAGAGAAGAGAATAATTAACATGCCCTAGCTTTGGGCACAGACTGCTTTTCCACTAGAGACATTGCCATGGAAACTTGGTGGCCCAGAAGTGACTGCCTGTCAGTGGACAGGCATTACCAAGAGTTCTCTAAGTTGCCATGGCTTTTGACGTTGAAAGACTTATGCAGGGAAGTAGTTTCCATGAGAGAATGATGGGAGGGGATCAGGATGGGGTGCTTTCTGGGAATCTATTCTAACCCATCCACATATTGGACACAGTGATGGCTTGTGATTGTTGTTCTCCGGAAAGCTATAAGTGGACAACAATGGAAGTGATCACATTGGGAAGGGAAGACAGTGTTGACCACACTCAGATATAGGTGGGTGAGCTGGGACTAGCCAGAGGAAAGGCATGCAACCCAGGCTGAAACATCACATAGTGGTTTATGTGACCATCTGAGTCTCATCCACCACTACCCCTGAAGCAAAGAGCAGCTTTCATTTACTTATCCACCACTTATTTTCTGCTTTTCTCTCCAAGGGGTGAAGGGAAATAAGTTCCAGGCACTATGCTAAGTGTTTTGCTTTAAAAAAACAAAACAAAACAAGTATCTCATTTGATCCTCCCCACAACACTGGGAGGCAGATGCCATTATTATGCCCATTTTACAGCTGAGGAAACTGAGGTCAAGTGACTTTAGTATCTGAGACTGGATTTGAATTCAGGTCTTCCTGAGTCTAGCCCAGCACTCTATCCACTGAGCCACCAGCTGCCTCTCCAATCTGGTGGGAGGAGGGATATGGAAATGAAGAAAGTCATTTGTTCTCTTCCTGGCACATAGGCAATGCAGCTAGCATTTTGGAAGGTGTATTTTTTTAATTGTTTACTTTTACTACTATGTTGTTTTTAAATTTCTTTTTACTTTTGCCTCCATGCTTAGGTAGCTAGGTAGACAGAGAATTCCCCAGCTTTGCCAAATAAATATTGAGAACCTAATAACTACTACCAGGAATTACAACTGTAATCCTTTTTCTCAATATGGAAGACAATTTTGACAAGAATATGGGCATAGAAAAATTAAATGTGACAGATGGAAAGCAATTGTATAGACACTATCACTTCAATGATCTACTGTTTTGTCTGTGTGGGTGCCAAGTCTGCCAACTCATATCACAATATTTTTTTTTAAGAAAGTGAAAAAACTATGCTCCTATTTGTACTTAGAGTTCATTAGTTCTCTCTCTGGAGGAGGACAGCATTTTTCATGAGTCTTTTGGAGGAAGAAGAAGGAGGAAGAGGAGGAGGAGGAGAAGAAGGAGAAGGAGGAGGAGGAGAAGAAGATGAGGAGGAAGAGGAGGAGGAAAAGAGGAGGGGGAGGAGGAAAAATGAGGATGGGGAAGAGGAAAAAATGAAGAGGGAAAGGTGATCATGACAAAGAGGATGACAGATGATAATGATGATGACAATAATATCCCCAGGAACAACAATTATGGTTTATAAAGCACTTTAAAGTTTGCAAAGTGCTTTACACAAATTTTATTTGATTCTCAGCCCTGTAAAGTAGGTGCTATTATTATCCCAGCTAAGCAAATTGAGGCTTAGAGAGGTTAAGTGACTTGCCCAGGGTCACACAGCTAGTAAATATATGAATCAGGTTTTGAACCCAGGCCAAGGTAATTCGAAGTGGAAAGGGCCCTAGTAATTGGAGGAATAAAGGAAGGCCTCTTATTAACTTCCATTTGCAACATGAATAGAAACTACTCACTTTGTTATTTTTTTCTACCAACATTAGTGAGAAAAGCCCATAACTCCTGGGTGATGAATATCTAATATATCACTTAAAGGAAATGCTATGCATTGCACTGTCCCACATCAGTAGATTGAGAAAAGAAAATATTCTCAACATATTTCTGCTTGGGGGAGAATAACAATTCACATTCACCTCTGTGTCAGGACAAGTTGCTTTTTCATATCTTAACTTTTGAGAAAGTCCAGATTTACCTGCACCCCATATCGAAAGACCTGGAACTGATGATTTAGAGTAGGAGAAAATAAATTATTTCTAAGGTTCCTTCCAGCTCTAAAATCCCATATTTAGAATTTAACCCCCTCATTTTAGAGATAGGAAAACACTCTCACCACCCTTACTACTTTTCTTCAGCTGTGCCTCACTAATAAAAGAATACTTGGGCTGTCTTTTTTTTTTTTGTCCAATAATTTCTCCTTTTCTTATGTGGGCCAGGGGTTGGAAACCTTTTAAAAGTGTTGTGTCAAGCTATGACACTTTTTGTGGCATTAGGGGCTGGGAGATGGGAGGTGGAGGAAGAGAAGGAAAGGCCGATTGTCCAGTCATTGATTGGCAGTTGGAGAAGAGAATTTACACCTGTTCTTGAGTCTCCCAGCTGGCCTACTGAAAGCAGCCCTTCTGGTGCAGGGGCCAAGGCAGTGAGCCCAATAGCAGCAAAATGCTCTTTGGCCAAAGAAATTGGGAATGCATGTGCCATCTTTGAAAAGCATACCTTCTTTGTTTTCAAAGATATATAGTTATATCTGAACCTGCTATGATTCAGCACCAAAAGCTCAAATAATCTTTTTCCCATTTATTTCATGCCCATGATAGCTGGATGTTTCAACATTATAAAGACTTTAAGTATAAAAATATGCCCTGCTGGTCTTCTAGCTACTTAGGTATTTATCAGAATAAAGAAATCCATGGGGCATAGCATTGGTTAGCAATTTCATTTTTTCACAACTCTAGTTATTCATGGCACAGTGGCAAGGCATTTAGTCGTATGTGACTGTTGCTTCCCCTCCCTTCCCCATCTGATCAAATTTTAATTGTATGTTAAAAAAGTATAATGTTATGCCCTGGAAACATCGAGGTGCCCTATATAGGGAATGATGGTTTCCTGGAAAGCATGTTTTCCTTTCCCTCTTGCCTTCTACTCCACTCTCTACCCTAAACTGCTGATAGTTGTTGATTTTGCTTGTAACAAGGAGGTAGGGTCATGCTGTTTCAATTTCTATAATTCTCACAGTGAGTCTCCTGAGTCCATAAAGGACTCAGAGCAGACTATGGGATCATGATGCTCTCTGTTACCTTGTATACTTCCTACTACCCCAAACTCTAAGCTTGAGACTCAGAGAACACCTCTCATGATCGGGGCCAGCTGGATCACCCAAAGACCATTTTCTCTTTTATTAATGAATTTTACTATAATGGAGGAGAGGGAGGTTCCTTCTATCCCTTATTACTTCAAGTAGCTTGGAATGCAGGCAAGTACCAAATGCAGCTGTTGACAAGTCAAGATGAAATAATGCCTGTCACATTTTGCTTAAAGGGCAAAGTAACCTCCAACTTAATTTAGAAGGAAAAAGTTGGCAGAACAAAACAATGTACCTTTTAAAAAAATCTTTCTCTATTGCCCCCAAATGAGTAATTTAAACAAAAATGACACCTGGCAAGCAACATTGTTCAACTCTCAGAAATCTGGATGCCAAACTGAAGACTTACCAAGGAAGACAGAAGCTGCATAACTACAGACGTAAAGAAGAAATCTGTAAATTATTGGACTACAAAAATTGTTCCACATGCCATTTGCCTTTCAGATAGCTCTCTACCTAAAGTCCAATCTCACCAGCCTTTGTAATATGAAACCTACTGTAGATAAGACAAAATATGCAGATAGTCTGCTTTGGAGCAGGATATTAAATTGGTTCCAGAAACCAAGTTACATGACAAACAGTTTAATGGCATTGCTAAAACTGGAAGACTTGATTTCATGATTATCCATTATTAATGGAAAGAAAATCAAACAGATTCTGAATAAGCTTTTGCCATCAGCATGGGGCAATCTCATGTTAATGTTTTGGAGGGCAGAAATCTCAGGTAATTTTATTGGCCTTTTAATTACAGAATATAATTTCAAAATTGGTTACAGAAAGAAAAAAAAAAGTATAGAGGTGACTGATTTTTCCTGAAAGTTTTTGCAGTATTCAAACATATTAAAAAGAAGTGCCCAATTTACCTTCATAGCTGAGTCATGAAGAAGAAAAATTAATCCTAAAGATTCAGGCACTAATTATTTATTATTTCAAAGACACTTTCAGCTGTACTCTCACAATTGTGAAATAACTTTTTGCAAAGTTAATTTAGTTTTTAAAAGAACTCTAAATTACTCCTATTTTTCAAAGAAAGATTTCTAAAATATTTGTGAAACACTTCACAGGCAAAATAATCCAGTAAGCAACATTCCCATGTGAAAGGAATCATTTTCCTGAAATCAGGAATGAGTTAACTATCAGTTATACCATATCACCGAGCTACAGAAAGACTTAAGAGAAACAAAACGTAAATACGATGTGACTAGAACATTTTAGAACTATTATCTCAACAGTCAAAAAACCTCTTTTCTTCTGTACTTACAGTCTTTAAATACAAGATCTGGGTCTCTGTGAGGCAAGACTTGGGCAATGATGTGTTTCAGGGATTCCAAGGTTCTATCCATCTTGGCTCTGCCTTTTCGAGACTGCACGCACAAAGTGTCCTCATGCCTGAATTATTCCAGCCCTGTACTGAATTTGTGCAGTTCATTGATGCACTGGATTACCAAAGAATCTCTTTTAACGTGCCAATCAGACATTGCCCAGAACCTAAAGACCTCTCAGTAGGCCCTCCTCCCTGGCTCACTTATCTTTGTTGTATGCTGAGCTAATTAGCTACAAAGGCTAGCTGACAGGCTAGCTCCAACCGCTTCCTTCTGTTAAACACACCCACCTACAGGCTAGCTGGGGAAACTAATCATATGAAAAGCTTTTCCCTTTCCTTCCAAATATTGCCTAAATGGACTGAAGCAGACTGATTTTGGCTTTTTATTGTTGTTAAATTGTGGTTCTGCTTCTTGCTCCTCTTCCCTTAAGAGGTTGAAAACAAAATGTAAGATCTCTCAACTAAATTCCTTACATATCAAATGTAAAAAGTCCCTTCCAGTGAAGATGAGTATAACAAATATACTCATTCAACTTCTCATTTTGCGAAGGACTATTATTATATGTAAGCTAAAGGGGCAGCTAGGTGGCTCAGTTCCAGACACAGTGCTGGGCCTGGAGTCAGGAAGACTCATCTTCCTGAGTTCAAATCTGGCCTCAGACACCTCCTAGCTGTGTACTCTGGGCAAGTCACTTTGTTTATCTCAGTTTCCTCATCTATAAAATGAGCTGGAGAAAGAAATGACAAACCATCTTTGCCAAGAAAACCCCAAATTGGGTCACAGAAAGTCAGACATGACTAAAACAACTCAACAACAGCAAAATTCAGGAAACGATAGGGTAATGCTTGCTGTTTGAATTCACAAAAATCAACCCCAGAAGCCAAGTTCTCCTGCCATAACCATAATCAGTTCTGATGGCTGGACTTATCTCACAGTTGGTCAGGGTATATATTCTCTACTATTAACCCTTTAAAGGAAAATCCATTCACTAACTCCCTACAACTATTTGGAATAATTTATGGGTTTCCAAAGTGGGTGATACTGCCCCCTTGGGGGTGCTGGAACAATGAAGGGGTGAAGGGGGGATGGTAGTGGGAGTACTCTCAGGTGCAATTAGGGGTTGTTGAATAAAAATAAGGGGGCCATAGAAGCATAAGGAAAGGAAAGAAAAGAGGATAAGAAAAGTTTGAAAAACCATTTGTACATGTTTCATCTATTGTGTAATAGGGTCAAAGTCATAGTGGTTACATTATTTTCCAAATAAATACACAAAATGCAAGTTATAATGCATCAGTGGTCAAGTCTGCTAAGAGGTCTTAACAAGAAAGTGTTGGCAGGCCAGTATGTCATACATTGTCCAGGATCAGCAGGAATATATGCAAGTAATGACTTGTTTTATAATACAATACTATAGGGTTACATGAGTAATTTTTTTTTAAAGGGGGCAGTAGGCCAAATAAGTTTGGGAACTATTTTAGATATAACTTTCATCTTTTCACTTTCACAAGGATGACGCTTTCTAAAGAGAATTAGCGAATTTGAGAAATTGAGAATAACTAGGATGTATTTTGAAAGGAGTTTGTGAAAATGATATGAAGCTCTGAAATGATAGATCAGATGAGTCAGTAGAGAGAAATCCCATCTTTCCTCCCCACTGTCTTATACCTCACATAACAGCCTACTTAGTAAAAATCTGACTGAGAAAGGAAGAGGAGGACTTTGGGATTATGTTGCAGCAGAAAGGATCTAGGATTGAGAAAAAGATGTGAGACACTGGAGTAGGGGGAGGGAACATGGGGCCTTGAGGCCACATGTGGCCTGCTAGGTCCTCAAGTGCAGCCCTTTGACTGAATCCAAGGATTCATTCCAAGTCACTTCACTCTGTTTTCTTCAGTTTCCTCAACTGTAAAATGAGCTGTAGAAGGAAAGGGCAAACCACTCCAGTATCTTTGCCAAGAAAAGCCCAAATGGGGTCAGGAAGAGTTGGACACAACCGAAACAACTGAACAACAACAAACAATAACAACAACAACCAATCAGATTTTAATGCTACTTGTGGAAAACACATCCTTATACCACATAATGAGTCCACCTCCTTTTCTGAACATACGTTTCCTAAATGATACTTCTTATGATACATCTTGAATATAGATCAGCCCTACTTTAACAAGTACACTCATTGAAGTCGCCCACTGTCTTAAGCTAAGGATCTCCTTTTTTTCTTAAAGAGCACAGTGGCATTCCAACTGAGCCTGCAACTGGGGTTGAAGATGAAAGTAGTAGAGACTACAGTAAGGGAGTACAGTGGATTAATCCATGAAACAGAGAAACCTTATGAAGATGAAATCAAGCCTAGCAGCAGAAGGACTCCTTCAGGACAGATACCACACTCAGCAGTCAATCTCATTAGGATTCTACAAAGCAAGGAGTGACATTAAGGTCCTGCAGTTGTGAAGCTGCATGTTGCCTTGGCCACGTGTGTGTCTCACTCCTATTGTACATTAAGTTTGAGCTAGTACTTGCTATATATTTAAATAAATCCCTTATTAATATCTAATTGAGACTACTGGCTGATTTTTAATGGAAGCACATAAGTAGGGGCTCATGAGCTATAGTGTTAGGAGCACAGACCCATAAAGTTGACCCTAGAAGCTGAAAAGCAGCCACTCTCAGACTACCCCACCTATGAGTATGGAGTGCTGAGTTAGGGCAGTAGACCATAAGGAATATTTGAATATTTTAAAAATATTTTGTGGGATGGTGTTAGAAAGATAGATGACACTGAAAAAATGAGAATTTTGGTTGCTGGGTGAACGTCATTTTATATAGGCTATAGAGTCATCAGACATTAATGTGCCTTCCACTCCCAGTGTAACTAATACCCAGTCAACAAGTTATTGAAATGACCAATCCTGATGCTGCTACAGGGGCTTCTGACAAATGACAAGAACATTATAGATTTCACCTGCAGGGTCCTCAGAATTCATTCTCTCTAAAGAAGTGTGAGTGATTATACTAGAAATATAAACACAGCTGTGTGAAGTTCAGACTTACGTAAACATCAAGACCTTTGATGACTTGACAATTGAGGAATCTTACATTTGGGGAAAATAAAAGGAATTCTGATAAATATAGATTTCACAGAATTAGACATTGGAGGCTAGTCTGTTTCAAACTCAAACTCCAATCCTTCAGCAGTTTTCCTTTGGAAATCTTTTGTCTACGCATCTCCTGATAAGCAATTCAAGGAGAATTTTCACCTGTAAGTACAATCCAAGACTGCTTAGGAAAAACAAGCAGCATGGTTTCTCATCTTTCTTTTTAATTAAAAAAAAAATTTATTAAGGGAATTGGGGTTAAGTGACTTGCCTAGGGTCACACAGCTAGTAAGTGTCAAGTGTTTGGTCTGAGGCAAGATTTGAAGTCAAGTCCTCGTGACTTCAGGGCCAGTGCTCTATCCACTGCTCATCTTTCTTTTTGATGGAAGCAGTACAGCCTCAGTCTCATGTTCTCAGACACCACTGAAACAACTGAACAACAAATACATTGAAGAACAGTTGCCAAATTGAACTGATAGTTTCCTTACATGTAGCCCCCTATACTAATGAAAGAAAAAATATGAAAGTGGAATCAATGGTTAAGAATAGAAGATAGAAAACATTGAACATAACAGTGGATGGCTTACTGAGAAGGGGCAAGGGAAAGGATATGGAGGGGGAATGATGGTGATGTTAAAAGGAAAGATGTCAATAAAAATCCAATTAAAAAATTTAAAACCAAAGCAGTGGATACCCTGAAAAAGAGAATGGAGGAGAAAGAACTTAAAAAAAAAAGCAAAACAAAAAACAAAAAAAGAGTCGAAAAGAATTCTAGCAATGCCAAAAGACAGAAAAATTGGAAAAACATGAGACATTTATAATAATAATAATAATAACAAAAAATCAGTTGGCCTGGATCCAGAATCCCCTATGACAGGGAAATGAGAGGTTTCCTAAGGGTAACTGATTTGCCTCACCAAATAATACAGAAACGCACAATGCAGAAAACTCATTAATATTAGGAACTGGATAAGCTAACAAACTTATCTATCACAAGGTGATTCTTTAAAAAAAAATAATTCAAGATCAACTCAGAAGGTCACTCCTGGTGTTTCCATCCAGCCTCCTGTCTCTCACATTTCAGCACTGGCCTGGGGACCTCCCTATAGCCTACATGGCTGACTTATGGGGTATCCTTGCTCTCAGATCAGGTGGAGGTCCTGTTGCTGTGGGTAATCACACCTTTGGTTTCCATTCTCTTACAGTGAGTGTACTGGCCTGGAGAAATGCTAAATGCAGCACAGGAGGAAAAAAAAGTCAGTAAAAAGGAGTGAAAGGAAGGGAGAGATAAGACCTAAATGCAAAGGCCTCCTTTTGGCAGTGTCTTGGGAGACACTCCATGACCACCTCATGATAACCCCTTGCGGCCAACCTAGTGATTAAAGAAAAGATAATTGTAGAGAGTAGAATGGAACTGAGAAGGTCAGGATAGAGACATTTGAAAAATAAGACCAATTACAGAGGCTACTCAGAGAGTCTCTGTAGCAACGGTGGGAGAACTGGAGGATACAAGAGGGGATGGAACCTTCACTTTGGGTGGATATATTGATGATAACTGACAATAAAAAGAAGGTAGAGCTGCTAAACTTCTATTTTGTTTCTATTTTTTTTTCTATCTAGGAGAATGATATTTGCATTGGAAATGACTGAAGAAAAATGATTAACAGGGAGTAAATGCTTTCCCAGTTGCCCTTGATGAATTAAAATCCTCTGGACCAGATGAATTATAGGAGAGACTTCACACTTATGGCCTGAGGGCTACAAGCAGCCTTCAAAACTCTAGTTCAGCCTGAATCAGATTAAAATGTAATTGGGAAATGTTTGACAAAATAAAAATCTGACACAATATAGAAAATGTTAATTTTTGTTTTTTTAAGTTAATATGCAAGGATCCAGTTTCTATTTGAGTTTGACACCACTGAGTATCAGGTATCAAAAGAACTGGCAGATACGATTTCTAGGACATCCTCAGTGTTATTCAAAAGATCATCAAAAATGGGGGCAAATGTCCTAATTTTCCAAAAATGGGAGGGCATAGTGTCTACAAGCTACAGGCTAGTGAGCTTGACTTTGATTCTTGGAAATATTCTAGAATTGATCAAAGG